GTCATACATTGGGCCCCCTCCAGGACCTCCTTGGAGCTCACCACATGCTCCTCCATGCTTGAAAACAGCCCAATCACTCTCAAAGCAAACCTAAGGTCAGGTGTTATTTTCATTCCTACTCATGAAACTGGAAATATTTGTAAGATATACTTGTATTAAGCCCTGTCGACCTGTGCTGAAAACTATCCAGTGGGAACAAATAAGCTACTTATTTCATATTATATTATTTTGGGGGAATAAACAAATCCACAACAGAAGCAAATGAGAAGATCAAGAATGATGAGAAATCTTGCAGACAATTGGAACATAATGCATTCTGGTTATGCTGCATTAACTTTAATTTAGTGGCCATTAAAAGCAGTCCTTACAGTCTGTAATATCTTCTCAAAGGTTTTTGTCCAAAAGCCTTAGAACAAAATGAGGTATATCAAACTGCTTCTTAATTTTCCTTATAGAAAGGCCATTACTTATTATCTGATTTTTTCTTAAACAGTAAGCTAAATTTCATTGTGATCACAAACTTCTTCTCTCCTTTGCTCCTGGATTTCTAATATTGCTCAATTCAGTATCTCCAAGGTGAGTATAGAAAGAGGGTGAATGATGGAGGAAGTAATGACAAAGGAGACTGGGTGAAGACTGGGTATTTCACTGCCAAACATTATTATTGAAGGTGTATGGACCTAAAGTGTGAGCACCTTGCTGATTCATATTTGAATTATACTGTTTATAGAATGTGTGGTACCTGTTTTATGTTTTTCTGTTTCAAAACTTCTTTGTTTGTTTCAAAAGGTGCCCAAGAAATATGCAAGCAAAAAATCAAATATGTCTCTCTAAATTCTATCTCATGGGACTCTCAGAGAATCCAGACCTGCAGCCCACCCTCTTTGGACTGTTCCTGTCCATGTACCTGGTCACAGTGCTTGGGAACCTGCTCATCATCCTGACCATCAGCTCTGACCCCCATCTCCATACCCCCATGTACTTCTTCCTCTCAAACCTGTCCCTCACTGACATTGGTTTCATCTCCACCACGGTCCCAAACATGATTGTGAACATCCAAACTCACAGCAGAGTCATCTCCTATGGGGGCTGCCTGACACAGATGTCTCTTTTTCTCCTTCTTGGTAATATGGATTATATGCTTCTGACTGTAATGGCCTATGACCGGTTTGTGGCCATCTGCCACCCACTGCATTATCAGGTCATTATGAGCCCTCGCCTCTGTGGCTTCTTAGTTTTGGGGTCCTTTTTTTCTGTGTCTCTTGGATTCTCAGCTGCACAATTTGATGATCTTACAAATTACCAGTTTCAAGCATGTGGAAATTTCTAGTTTCTTCTGTGACCCTTCTCAACTCCTGAATCTTTCTTGTTCTGACACCTTCTCTAATAACATTGCCAAGTATTTTCTTGCAGCCATCTATGGCCTGTTTCCTCTCTCAGGGATCTTTTTCTCTTACTATAAAATTATTTTCTCCATTCTGAGGATCCCTTCTTCAGATGGGAAGTGCAAAGCCTTCTCCACCTGTGGCTCTCACCTGGCAGTTGTTGGCTTATTTTTAGGAACTGCCTCTGCAGTGTACCTTGGATCAGCTGCATCACATATTCCCAAAAATGTTGTGATGGCCTCAGTGATGTTCACTGTGGTCACCCCCATGCTGAACCCTTTCATCTACAGCCTGAGGAACAGGGACATTAAAAGTGCCCTGAGGAGGCTGCAGAGTAGGGCACTCTGACCTCAGGACTGTGATCTCTGGTGTCAATGCATGCCGCAAATGCAGCAAGAGTTGATGCCTGGACCTGTCATTATGCCCTGTATGCTATTTTCTCATCAATTTTTATAGTATAATGGTTGGATCTTATGTTGGGAAGGGATATTTAGTTTTTTTCACACCAGCAACAAGGTTTTACTTGGGTAAGATAAGAATGATGGAGATAAATAATTGTGATTGTTTTACAACTGTCTATTTTTAATGCCACTAAGCTATACATTTAACAATGATAATAGTGACAAGTTTTTATAATTTAAATTTAGCATAATGAAAGCAACCTAAGAAGCTCCTGTTAAAAAAGAAAACAATTGAAAGAAATCAATAGTACAGAGAACTTCTTTTTTACTAAGAATTGCTGAAAAACATTAGTTGATATTCATCTTTCTTTCATGACACTGTAGAGCTTGTGATATGCTCTTCAGGTGGGAAGTACAAAGCCTTCTCCACCTGTGGGTCTAAGGAATTTTATGCTTTTAACCTCCAAGTAACGAATTTTATGCTTTTAACCTCCAAGGTCATACCACAGTCAATGAGCAGCCTGTGCCTCCAGCATTTCAACTTGATGTCTCCAGTCAGGTGGGCCCCATCCTGTGTTTCTTCTCACCCTGGTTGTGTCTTAGGAAGCCCCTACCTGAGCGTGCACAGGTGTCAACCCTAAAGATGAGGTGGGAGGTGACTGGGTACCAGCCATATGGAATCCACTCTCCTAAGTCATGACCACCTGAGCCAGTGTAGATAGCTAACTGCTGAGGGAGGTGAGGATGGAGGAAGGACCAACATGCAGTGTGGCTGCCCAGAGGGGAGAGCACTGCACAGTGTCAGTCATGGGGACTGAGAGTCGAGGCATGTGTGTGACATCCACGGTGGTAGAGAGCATGGTGGCAATCTCACTACAGTTTTCCTTTCCTCCCTCACTGATCATTCTTACCACACACTGTCGTCCACATGGAGGGAATGTGCTCCTTCACACTGACCTTAACACCTTTATGAAGGTGATGATGAGGAGGTGGACCTGGATGAGTACCACATACAAACATATGATCCTTCCATGAGAGATCCCTGAGTGCCAGGCGCTAAACTGTGCACTATTTGTAGATTCTTAAATTCTTCTGCAAAATCTTCACCAAGTTATAAGTGCCAGGTTATTGTATTTGACAGAGTAGAGAGGATCAGATATTTTTGTAACTTGGGCTAGCAGTTTAAGTCAAATAACTGAAACTATGTGTGAAATGCACTGTGGATTTGTGACACATAGCATCTTGGCAGGACAGAGCTGGCAGATTGTCCCTTTCACAAGCAACCCTGTTTCATTTTTCTGTCCCTTCAGAATGGGACTCTATTTTTCTATACCCTTCACATAGGATTTCCAGTAGATCCCAGAACTAACACTTTAACTAATTCTGGAAAAGTGGCTTAAATGAGACAAAGTTCTAAGATTAAGAGGGCACAAATCAACCATCCCAGAGTTCCCTGTGTCCCCCTCTGCAGGACACCCTTGCAGCTGCCACATCCTCCTGAATTCTGGGAATCAGGCCTCTTCTTGGGAGGAAGCAAAGCATGTCATGATTTCATGACTACTCAGGGACTTGGAAGAGGTTAAGGCTGTATTTGGTAGGTGCCTGCAGCTAAGACCTCTGGATTCAGCTTAAAATATTGTGATGGATGGAAAACAGTGAAAAGATTAGCATCTCACACTGAGATTCATGATTTGATTTCATTTTCTGTTGTCTCAGCTGGTTCTTTGTTAAACTTGGGGCAGGTTGTTAGTGTCTCTGTTACTCAGCAATGTCATTGAAGGTGATTTCTAGTTGATACAATGTCACTGAATCCAGATTAATGAGCAAACTTGTGCTCCCTACATGATTAATATAGGAGAAGGTATAAAATATGGGCAAATATGACCTAGATAGTTATTAATAATATGGAAATGCTAATCTTCATACTATTAAAATATCTTGTAACCTAAATTTACTGGTTTCACATTTCCAAAATACCCCTCTTTAGTTATATGATGTATATTTGTGAAGAATGACCAACTCTTTAACTTCTGATATCAAAGAGTCCATACCATGTTTGGCACAAGGAGTTAAAAAAATAAAAAGTAAAAAAGTTTTAATCATTGGATAGACCCTGCTCTGTGCACAGGTCTTGGCCATACTCAGTGGAGTTTCAACACACTGCTGCTCTCTCTGTACCTTCATCTTACTAAGGAATGTCCCTCAGAGGCAGCGACAAGATTGAGTACCTCTTGTTTGTGTCTGTGTCATTTACACATGAGCCCCATACTTCCCCTTCACAGCATATACATCATTCAGTTGCTCATGGACAATGGCAGAGATGTTCACAAGCCTATGACAAACAAGTTAGGTACAAAGAGGAGTAACAGGAGACACTTAGAGCTTGGTCTTAGACACACTTTAGAGTTTTACCTAATTCCAATGCTGCAGTGTCCATTGACAATTGTATTCTTCAATAGATTCACTATTTTCCTGATGACTGAATGTTAAAGTTAAAAAAAGAAAAGAAAAGAAATAGGGCCTGGGGCTTTGGCTCAGCAGTAGAACACTTGCCTAGTATGAGTGAGGCACTGGGTTCAATTCTTAGCACTGCATTTAAATAAATAAAATAAAGGTCTATCAACAATTCCCCCAAAACTTTAAAAACAAGCATACAAAAACCCCCATAGTGACAAAGTAAATGCCACTGAAGGGTATACTTAGTTTGGTTCTCATGGCAATTTTTGCTATTTGTATTCTACCCTAATAAGAATGGACCTTGTACTGTCATGTGTAACTAATTAAAACAAATAAAAATTAAAAAAAGAATGGGCCTTGAAAACAGATGTACCTTTAAAATTATAGAAATGAAAGTAGTAAATTGAACAAACAGCTGAGCTCATCATTAGTTTTGAGGTTTAAAATTCATGTGGAAGTGGATTTTCTTTGTCTTCCCCATTAATGATGGGAAGTCCTTGGAGATTGAGATATCATGGACCAATTAGTCTAATTATAATCTCTGTATTGATCTTCCAAGGTCATATAATAGTCCTCACTCAGCCTGTGCTTGTAGTCCTTCAGTTGATGGCATCGTCCTGTGACCTGTGTAGCTGTCTCTCCTCCTGGGGTGTCTGCATCAGAAAGCTCCTGAACACATGATCTGTTCCTGTGGACAGAGTTGCTCCTTTCCTGGGCTCCACACTTGGTAGGGTCTCAGGACCTGCACTTCTTGGTCATGACCCTGCAGGGAAGCAGCATGACTGAGTAAGTGCAGAGGGGGCCTTGGATGTGGGAAGGACTGGGGAAGTAGTGTTACATCAGCATGAGGACACTCACCACAGAGTAGCCAGGTGGGAGGGCACCAGCATGCAGCTTCAACCTTGGGGTTGTGGGGTTCAAGCTTTTGTTTCTGGTGGGGAGATAAGAAATCTTATTCAAAATGTGCTCTCCACCCACACTGGTCCTAACTCACACAGAAATCTCACACACAGCAGCACAAAATGGGTCCTCAAAAGTGTTTCCTAAGCTCTATGAAGGGACTATAGTGGTGGTGATGAGGATGAGGATGAGGAGGACAAAAGCCAGAGAACCATGAACTGAGGTGCAGGGCTTCCCAGGCTCAGGGTTGAGCAATGTGCTCTGTGTCAATTGTTTCATTTCATGTGCACCATCTCACTTTAGTTATATGTGTCCACATTATTATTTTATAGAAAATGAAGAAATGTGTTTTACTTATGTAACTTATACTCCTTTGTTAGTATGAAAGAGCACAGCCTTGTTTGTGTTGGGCTGTCTGACCATGGACACAGGGCACCACACAATGATCCTGGAAGCCTGTCCCATTAGCAAGCCATTCCTCTTCCATGTCACTGAAAAAAGAGAGCTTTGTCCCCTGTGCTCTTCCTTGTGGGATTCCTGGGGATCACAGGGCAGAGCAATGGGGGGCACCTGCTGTATGAACTATGGAAGAACAGCCACAGGTCACTGAGAGGTCACAGTAGGGGAGGCTGATGATCATTCAGCACAGATCCACTCTTGAGCCCCCTCCAGAACCTCCATGAGCTCACCACATACCCCTCCATGCTGGAAAACAGCCCGCTCAATCTCAAAGCAGACCTAAATTCAGGTCTTGTTTTCATCCCTGCTCATGCAGCTGGAAACATTTTTGTAATAGACCCGTGGTTAAGAACTGTAGACTTATGCTGAAAACTGTCTGCTGGGAATGAATAAAAATATTTAATGTGTCAGTGTCAGTGTATAAAGAGGTCACTAGTGTTACTAATGTTTCTCAATTTAGCCTTGTCCTCTCGAGATGATTTCTAGTTGATGCAACTGCAGTGAGTCAGAATTAAGTAGATACTTATTGATCTCATGTGAAAAATATGGCATATATAAATAAAATCTGGGAAGAATAAAACCTGGATATTGTTATTACTGTTAGTAATGACTAGGTTGATCTGCATGCCACTCGATTCATACATCCTGTGACCTGGAGTGACAGTTTTCCTATTTCTGAATGGGATATTTATTTCTGACCCTCCTATTAGAATTGTCTGTGAGAGTAGAGACAAAGTAAAATAGTGTCTTTCTATGTCCATGCTTTGGACATAGAGACCCTTTTTTCTTATTATTTTTAAAAGATTTTAAAATTTGTTTTAATTAGTTACACATGACAGTAGAATGCATTTCTGCACTTTGATATATCATACATAGATGGGATATAATTTCTGATTTTTCTGAGTGTACATGTTGCAGAATCACATTAGTCATGCAGTCACTATATACACTCAGTAATGTCTGCTTCATTCCACTATCTTTCCTATCCCCATATCCCTTCTCTCTGCCTACTCTAAGGTAACACTATTCTTCCCTAGTGACCCTTGCCTTAGTGAACTAGCATCCACATATTGTTTTTTATTTAATACTATCCACAGTAGACAAATTTTGAGACATCATGGCAGAGATTTTCATGGGTTTGAAGAAAGGCAATGAGGCAGAGCTGAAGGGGCACTTAATGCTGCAGCCTTCCACTGAGGCACAGGACAGAGTTTCACCTCCTTCCAGCCTCCAGTGCCCTTGACAATGGCTTTCTTCCATAAGAATGGAATCTTATATTAAATCACAATTTTTATTGAGTGATCCAATATTTATTGGGTTTCCAATTTCTCTTTGATGCTGCACATGTTGTGGAGATGGTGTTATAATCTGTATTTTCCTTAAGCAGTGAACAGGGAGAGGAGGAGAGATTCGCACACTGTGCACACACTGGCAGGTGGGATGTGGGTCTGAAATGCTGCCTTCCTGACTCCAGTTCAGGCACCAGCTCTGCTGCTACAGCCAGAGGAAATAGCATTCCCTACAGAAGTTGAAATTTCCTCAGGAGTCTTGAAGGACAAAGTATTGCTAGTTAGTGTTTAGCCTCATATTTATGATACATATTTGAGAAGATGTAGGTGATATTGACTGTCCTCATAGTGACATAAATGTTGGTCATTAATAGTATATTTGTACATTGGAAACCATTCAACTATTCCTGGCCAACATATTACATAGGCACTCTTACTTGTGTGACCTGGTGAGAGGCAAAAGCATTTTGAAATATTTGACATATTAATAAACTTTCCCATTAAATGGTGTCCTTTCTTCAGGTAACACTTTGCATCAGATAAAGACTTTGAAGAAGAGGAATGTACTTCACAGATGGAATTAATGTAACCTAGTACATTGCAGGGGCAATAACTATGGTGTTGCAGACTGCTTAGATGAGCTTTGGGTAGTTTTAAGGCAATTTTGTAAAGGAAACTCTATGGTAGATAATACTGACATGGAAAAACCAACAGAAAATTATACCTTCTCACTTCATGACAGAAGATGTGTTTGGAGACAGATTTGCAAGAGAATGAAATCAGGCAGAGATCCTAAGCCTCATGTTTTGTAGATAATGATTCAGTCTCTATCCAATGCTAGTCCTGAGACAAGTATTATTGAATTTCTGGGCTTTAACAGAGGTCGTGAGTATTATGACTATTATAATTTCCAACATTCAAAGAGCATGTTCTAAATGCCAGGAGGTTGTTATTCAGTGGATTCCAATTCTGGTGTAAGGATATCTGAAGACTTCACATGCAGATATGCTGATTAAATTGGTGTTGGTCTGACATTGTGAAATATGGATTATCTAAAATATCCAAAAGTGCGTATATTAACAAATGAGACAAAAGTGCTAGGTATGCAATTGGAAAGAATTAGAAATAAATTTTCAAACAACTATACAAGGTAGGTAATTATTTACAATTTGGCAATTCCCAAGAGTATTTACTATTTCCTTGACTGTTTATTATTATTTTTTCATTGTTTTACAATTTAATTACATTGAGAACTTACAATGAATGAACCTGTTTCCCTCATGTGGCTGAAATAAAGGAATTTCAAGCCACTTAATCAGGAATGAACAGACAGTCCATGAAGAGGAAATGAAGTGGTTGCGTGAAAGGCTGAGCTCTGGGGCTTTCTTTGGGTTAAATCTTAAAATTACAAACTTGATGTTTTGAGATCACAAATCCATGAAACAGTTTAAGCAGGCCAGATGGAGTAGAGAGTCAAAGAAAAGAAAAAGAGTGAAGAGTTATTTTACATAGCAGATATTTTATTGATATTATATGGGTTGATTCAAATAAACCTGCATAAAATTAAACTCTTCAGAGGAGTTGATGTTACATCATGTGTCCTCCAAGAGCTCATGTGTAAGACACTGCAAGAAAATTTAGAGACTAAATGTTTGAGTTATGTGAGGCTTCACCTAATCAGTATATTCATTCCCTAATAGGAATTAACTGGGTGGTGACTGAAGGCAGATAGAGTGTGGCTGGAGGAGGTGGGTCCTGATGGGCATGCCTTTGGAGTTTCTATTTTGTTCTTGCTGAGAAAACACTCTCTCCACTTTCTGGGTTACCCATTCCAGCTGTACACACTTCTGCCATGATGTTCTGACTCACCTCGGGCAGAACTAGTGAATGGACTAGGCCATTGATGGACTAAGACCGTGAGCCCCAAATAAACTTTTCCTCCTCTAAATTTTTCTTGTCAGGTCTTTTGGTCACAGAAATGAAAAACCTGACTAAACAACTTCTTACAGCTTATGATATTTATGACTTGTACAGGGCACACTATTGCCACATTTGTGGTCAGTGCTACTATTGATATTGTGCACTGAATCATTCATATTTATTCAAATTTTAAGTTTACAATGACAAAGATGTTTATTTTATATTCTATCATTTTTAAAGAAAAAAATACAAATCCACACAGGAGGCCAATGAGAAGTGGAAAGAATGATGAGACCTCTTGCAGTAAAAGAGCACATGCTGCTCTCTGGTCAGGATCCCTCACCCTTGCTCTAGTATTCAGGAAAATCAGTCCTTGCACAATTGTAAAAATCTTGTCTAAGAACTTTGTCCAAAGGCCTAAAAATAAAATAAGGTATATCAAACTGTTTTTAATTTCCCTTAAAGGAAGGTCATTCCACATTAACTATTTTTTTCCTTAAACAATAACACATATTTCATTGTGATCATGAATTTCTCTCCTCGGGTCCTGGAATTCAAACATTGCTCAGTTCAATATCTCTAAGGTGAGTATGGAAAGAGGATTGGATGAGGGATAAAGGGAAATGAAAGAGTGTGCAGAGGCTGGGTGTTTCACTACTGAGCATTATTATTGAAGGTGCACAGACCTAAGTGTGAGAACCTTCCTTGTGCCTGCCTGAATCGAAAGTACACAGAGTGATGGGTGCTTATTTTGTTATTTTCCTTTTCTCACCCTCATTGCTTTTTCAAAAGGTGTCCAAGCAAAATAGACACACAAAATCTCACAGGTGTCTCTGAATTCCAACTCCTGAGCCTTTCCGAGGATCCAGACCTGCAGCCCATCCTCTTTGGACTGTTCCTGTCCATGTACCTGGTCACAGTGCTTGGGAACCTGCTCATCCTAGCGGTCAGATCTGACCCCCACCTCCACACCCCCATGTACTTCTTCCTCTCCAACCTGTCCTTGGCTGACATCGGTTTCATCTCTAACACAGTCCCAAAGATGCTGGTGAACATCCAGACTCACAGCAGAGTCATCTCCTACATGGGTTTCCTGACACAGATGTCTCTTTTTGCCATTTTTGTCTGTATGGATGATATGCTTCTGACTGTGATGGCCTATGACCAGTTTGTGGCCATCTATTACCCCCTGCAGTATTCAGTTATTATGAGCCCTCACCTCTGTGGCTTCTTAGTTTTGGTGTCTTTCTTGCTGAGTCTTTTGGACTCCCTGCTGCACAGTTTGATGATTTTAAAAATTACCAGCTTCAAGGATGTGGAAATTTCTAATTTCTTCTGTGACACTTCTCAACTTCTGAATCTTTCCTGCTTGAACACCTTCTCTGATAACATTGTAAAATATTTACTTGCTGCCATATATAGCCTTTTTCCCATCTCAGGGATCCTTTTCTCTTACTACAAAATTATTTCCTCCATTCTGAGGATCCGATCCTCAGGTGGGAAGTACAAAGCCTTCTCCACCTGTGGCTCTCAACTGGCAGTTGTCTGCTTATTTTTTGGAACAGCCTCAGGGGTGTACCTTGGATCAGCTGTGTCACATTCTCCCAGAAATGGTGCAGTGGCCTCAGTGATGTACACTGTGGTCACCCCCATGCTGAATCCTTTCATCTACAGCCTGAGGAACAGGGACATTAAAAGGGCCCTGAGGAGGCTGCAAGCAGGATGATCTAATCTCACACCTGGTGGTGTCTAGTTGCAATATGTGTTGGAAAATGCAGAAAAGCTAAATACATGGTTCTGTCTGTATGCCCCTGGGTCTAATTTCTCACCAAGTTTTATAGTAGAATGGTTGGAACTCATGTTGTGAAAGGATGTTTGGAAGTTTTCACATTGGGAACAAATTTTAGTTTGGTGAGATAAAAAATATTGGAGATAATTGATAGTGATTGTTTCACAACTCTGTCAATATTTAATGCCCCTGAGATATGCAATTGGCAATGGTAATTAATGATTGCAAGTATTTGTAACTTAAAATTTCCATAATGAAATTGGACTCTATAAACCACTATGTTTAAAACACAATTAAAGAAATCAATAGTACAAATGGACTTCTATTTCTGTTTAAAAAATGCTTAAGTGACATTAGCTGATGTTCATTTTTTACCCTTCTTCCTAGCAAATCATTATTAGGACATCTTAGAGTCTGTGATAGGTTCACCTCTTGGCCAGTCAGAAGTTGTATGCATTGAGCCTCCAAGGTCACACCATAGTCAATGAGCATCCCGTGCCTCCAGCATTTCAGATTGATGGCTCAAGTCAGGTAGGCCCCATCCTGTGTTTCTTCTAACCCTGGTTGTGTCTATTAGGAATTCCCTACCTGAGCATGCACAGAGTCAGCCCTAAAGATGAGGTGGAAGGCACCTGGGTACCAGCCATGTGGAATCCCCTCTCCTTAGTCACGATCACCTGAGCCAGTGTAAATAGGTAACTGCTGAGGGAGGTGAGGATGGAGGAAGGACCAACATGCAGTGTGGCTGCCCAGAGGGGAGAGCACTGCAAAGTGTCAGTCTCGGGGACTGAGAATTGAGGCATGTGTGTGATATCCACGGCGGTGGTGAGCATGGTGGCAATCTCACTACAGTTTTCCTCTCCTCCCACCTTGATCCTTCTTACCACACACTGTCATCCACATGGAGGGAATGTGCTCCTTCATGCTGTCCTTATCACCTTTATGAAGGTGATGAGGAGGAGGTGGACCTGGTTGTGGATAGCACACAAACATGTGATCCTTCCATGAGAGATCCCTGAGTGTCAGGTGCTGAACTGTGTGCTATTTGTAGATTATTTAATTCATCTGCAAAATCTGCACCAAGGTATAAGTGTCATGATATTTTATTTGACAGGATAGAGAGGATCAGAGTTTTTAGTAACTGTGCTAGGAGTTTTGGTCAAATAACAAGGCATGTGTGAAATGCACTGTGAGTTTGACTCACATGGCATCTGAGCAGGAAAGTGCTGGAAGGTTGTCCCCTCCACAATCAACCCTGTGTTTCACTTTCCTGTGTCTGCAGGTTAGGACCCCTTTCCTCTGCACTTCCCTTTCAGATTTCTGGTAGATACCAGGACAAAGCAGCGAGTAGCATCAGTTTCACCAGTTCAGGAAGAATGGCTGAGAGGGGACAAAGGTCTATGGTCAAGTGGGCCAAGTAATCCACCACAGACCTCCCATTTTCCCAACTCCAGGAGACCCATGAAGCTGCTTCATTCTCTAGCATTCTGGTAAATAGTCCTCTTATCTGAATAGGAGATAAGCAGGTCATTACTCTTTGGGAAACTTGAAAGATCTAAGATAACCAGAGAGGTGCCTGTAGCTCAGACCTCTGGATTCAGCTTAAAATATTCTGATGGTTGGAAAACAGTGAAAAAGATTAGTGCATCACATCCAGGAATTTACAGTGTAGTTTTTACACTGTTTGCTGGATTCCTCTTTCTGCAACAAAGGCAGGTTGTTACTGTCCTTGAAAGCACCGGAGCTGGTTTCTAATTGATACAGCATAATGTGTCAAATGCATTCTACTATCAGGTATAACTAATCAGAACAACATCAAACTACAAAACAAACCATCAGGGTGATGAAGATGTGATGCAGGTATAAATTATAGACCAAAGTCAGATAGTTATAATTAATATGGAAAGGCTAAACTTGCAACTATCCAAGTGAAATATTTTTGAGCTAAAATTACTGTTTTTATATTTCTATAATTTTGCATCTTTATATATTCTTATTTAAATATATGATGTATATTTAAATGCAATGACCATCTCCCTTTCATTTCTGCTTCTCCAGAGCTTGTACCATGTTAGGCACAGAGGAGATAAAAAATAAAATTGTGTTGAACACTAGCTGTGTGCACAGGTCCTGGCCTTCCTTGCTCAGTGGGGTTTCAACCCCCTGGTGCTCTCCTGTCTGTACCTTACTCCTGCTCAGGAATGTCCCACAGAGCTAGAGACTAGACTGAGCATCTCTTGTTTGGGTCTGTGTCATGGACACCAGAACCCCATACTTCCCTTAGCAGCATCTACAACCTTCAATTACTCATGAACAATGGCAGGAATGTCCATGAACCTAGGAAAAGAAATTAGAAACAGAGATAAGTGACAGGAGACCCTTAGAGCTTTGCCTGAGACACATTGTACTTTCACATTATTTCAATACGACAGTAGAATCCTTTGACAATTATTCTGAGCAGTGCACCCACTATTTTTTAATGAGTGAATGCTTAATAAAAAAAATTAAAGACCAAATAAATGTCATTAAAATGTGTACTTCAGATGGTTCAAGTAGTAATGTCTTGTGATTTATATTTTAACCTAATAATTATGGATCTTAAAAGCTGGTGTAGCTATTAAAAACTCAGAAGTGAAAGAAGTAATTGAGTACACAAGGTTCTTCCAATTATGGCTGGGACCCAAATATTAAGTGATCTTCATTTTCTTTTCTTCATTTTCCTGCATTAATATTGGGACGTTCTTAGAGATGGCATAACATGGACTAATTAGTCTAATTGTGAGCTCTGTGTATTGAGCTTCTGAGGTCCTATATTAGTCCATAGTCAGCCTGTGCCTGCAGCCCTTCAGTGGATGGTTCTTATCCAATGAGCTGCATGGCTGTGTCTCCTGCTGTGGTTCTGCATCAGGAAGCTCCCAGCTGACAGCATATTCCTGGGAATGCTGTGCACAGAGTCTGAGTCTTTGTTGGGCACCAGGTATGGGTGAGTCTTGGCATGTGCACTTCTATTTTTTAATATTTTTAGTTGTAGATGGACACAATATCTTTATTTATTTATTTTTATGTGGTGCTAAGAATTGAACCCAGTGCCTCACACATGTGAGGCAGGCAGTATACTACTGAGCTACAACCCCAGCCTGGCAGTGCACTTCTTTGTCATGAGCCAGCAGAGAACCAGCACAACCCAGTAAGTGCAGAGGGAGCCTTGGGATACAGGAAGAAAGTATTGTTTCTGTATCACAAGGACAAACATCACTTTGAGTATCCAGATAGGAAAATTCCAGCGTGTCAATTTTCATGTCTGTTGCTTGTGAAGCTTATGATTTTATTTTAGGTAATATATGATTTGCATCCCCCTCCCACTGGTTCTAGTTCCCATAAAAATCTCACCCACAAAAGCAGAAAGTGGGTTCTTCAAAAGTGTTTTCAAAGGTCTACAAAAGAACTATGGTGTTGGCGATAGAATGATGAGGAGGATGAGAGAAGCTAGAGCATCTTGATCAGAGGTGCAGGGCTTCCCAGGCTCAGGTGCTGAGCAACATGGTCTATGCAATCTGTTTCATTTCATGTATATCACCCTGCTCCAGTTATGCATGCCCAATTTATTATTGCTTTACAGTAATCAATGAAGAACATTATATTTATGCAACTTCCTCTTGTTTGTCAAGTAGGAAAGAATGAAGCCTTGTGTGCACTGTGGTGTCTGACCATAGACACAGGGCATCATAGGAGAACCCTGGCAGGCTGTCCCATCAACAAGCTAAACAGCCCTTCCTCTTCTCTGTCACTGGAGAAAGACAGCCTTGTCCTCTGTGCTCTTCCTTGTGGGATTCCTGGGGATCACCAGGGAGAGCAGTGGGGCTCCTACTGCTTGCACTATGGAGGAACATCCACAGGTCACAGGAGAGGTCACAGTAGGGGAGGCTGATGAACATTCAGCACAGATTGTGCTTGGGCCCCTCCAGAACCTCCATGAGCTCACCACATGCCCCTCCATGCTGGAAAAGTGTCCTCTTAAAGGAAAACCTAATATTGAGTCTTGATATTATTCTCACAAACCTGGAAAGTCTTTAAATGTATACCCAAGATATAACTGTAGTTAAGACCTCATGACATAAGTAGAAACCTTTATTGGGTAGGAAAGAATAAAAACATGTTGTCAATGGGTCTCAGATTCTGTCAGTCCTCTGTGAAGTAGGACAAGTCACTAGTGTCTGGATTCAGAATTGTCATCTGAATTGATTTCCCATTGATGCAACTGTGGTAAGGATTAAATAGATACTAGGTGATCTTTGGGTCGGAAGAGTCTACATTATTTCCTCTACTGTTCTTTTTGTTGTTATCCAATTCAATCACAGTGAGAACTGAAAAGTAATGAACCCATGATTGGCTTAAGTGAGAGAATTGGAATCCACATTTCAGAAATGACCAGGATGTCCATGAAGTGGAAATGAGGTGGCTGGAAATAAGACCTGAGCTTTGGGGCCGTCCTTGGTGAGATAGTCCTAAACTATGAAACTTTTGGGTTGAGATCACAAAACCATAAAGCAGTTTTCATAAGCCAGATGGTATACAGGATCAAGAAAAAGAAAAAGAGTGAGGAGCTATTTGATACAGCAAATATGTTAATGATATTATATGGCTTGATACAAATAAAACTGCATAAGATTAAAGTATTCAAAGTGTTTCTTATCACTTAATTTTTCAATATCATCTAATTGTGCCACAGTCGTGGTCAGTATTACTATTGATTATATGCATTTAACTGAACCATATTTATTGATATTTGAACTTTTCTAAAGACAAGGCTACTTGTTTTATATTATCTAATCTTTGAACAGTAAATTTAAATACAAAGAAGAGGGAAATGAGGAAATCAAAGAATGATGGAACTCTTTGATGGTCTTATAGCCATTCTTTCTGACTGTGACTCATCA